ACTGAATAGAATTGAAGAAATGGAAATCATGAGATTGATTTTGAATATATTTTAAGAATTAAATATGTAAAGATGCACAAGTGACAACATTTTGAGGCAATCAATGAAATCAGGTGTTTTCCGTAAAGTTCAGGAATATCTTTGCACCCGCTGACATCTATGTTAGTTCGTTATTCATACTTTCATGTCTCTTGGACAGCTTGTTTTTTAGAATTATTTTGTAAACTAAAATTCATAATTGTTATTCCTTTTTTTCAGTTTTATATTATTTGAAATACTTATATTCTTAAATGGGAGGGTATGTAAACTTTCAAGCACAACTGTATATACTGTGTATATAATGGCGCTCTGTTCTTAATGGGACATTACATATCAGCCGGTTGAACGTGTCATCTCCATAGAGACACATTGTGGAGGGAAGAATTGGAATATTTACATGTTAAGGAATCAAGGAGAAGACTTTACAGTTGTCGACTTTTTGCCAGAATATTACTTGTTTTTTTTTCTCTCTTCATTGCATCTTAATCAATCATGTTTGAGGAGCAGGAACATGAAAGGTGATCTGTTTACCTGTGGGGTCTAAAGGAAGTGAAGGTTTGTATTCTATGACTGATATCAGCTGATCGGTTGACAAACGAAGGGTTTATGGGTTCAAAATCCAGCAAAGAGATCCTTATGTACCTACAATAAAGAGATGAACCAATCAGGAGTGTCAGAAGGGGGACCTGGCATCAAAGTAATATCAGTTAATGAAGCCTTATGCCAAAAAAACGGGTTCCTCTGACTGAAGCAGAGCAGCTGCAGCAGACACCTCTCCGTTCGTTGTCATGACCTTGACCACTGACCTTTTGCTCATGTACAAGTAAAAGAAATATCCAGAAGTAGAACTGTACAGCAAAGTGCATGGAAGGAAGAGTATAAAAATACCTCTGAATTTATTTCTGCAGCAACACATTTTGAAGATTTTATTCTTTTTTTTCCCCCCTTTTAATCGAAAAAGGTGAAAAGTCAAGTGAGACCAAGATATCAGTAAATAAATAAAATACAATGTGATACTTGTTACCGCTAGGCAAGATACATAACCCTTAGAAAGGTGAAGACATCGTCCGGATATATAGCTCGGCCCTCCCTCCCCCGTCTCCTCCCCCCTTTGCTGCAGCAATCCTCTTTTAGCACAGAAGAGGACTACATTTAAAACAAATATTCAAAATATACAGAAAATATGGAAATATATTATATATAGATACATTTAGAGTAAGGAAGTAATGTTCGGGGCAGTTTGACCGTCTACGCTGTGTCCAAGTTTTCCCTTTTCTGTGGTTTGAACTGGGATTCGTCCGCTGGTGTGAGCCGTCTCTGTCGCTCCTTCTTCCTCCTCCTGGTTTCGACACAGAGCTCCTTTAGGAAACGATGCAAATAAAAATAAATACTATGAATCCGTCCCGCTGTCTCTCTACAGCAAATTTCCGTTTCTCATTATTCTTTTAGATCAGAAAATAGTTCTTTGATTCCTCTGTTACTTCCTTGATTTATTTTTGTTTGTTGCATTTATGTTTTTTTTTTTTGCATTTTTATCCCCAAAATATGTTTCTTTTTAAAAAGTCATTTTTGTCCTGTTTTGAGAAAAATATAAACCTCTGTGACTCTGCTTTCCCCCCAGCAGCAGGGCTTCTTCCAGCAGGATGCAGGACCCCCTCTTGGCGTGGACATCCTTAGGGCATGCTGGGAAATCGAACCCAGCTACAGACTCGAGCTTAGCTCCCATGCGAGCGAAGCCTGTCAGCAATAGAGGGCAGGATGCGTGCCTCGGAGGGTTCTTACAGACAGGGCTGAGGGAGTTAGAGAGGAAGAGAGCAGGAGCCATTTCTTAGAAAAACAAAACAAAAACACAGGTTTGCCTCCTCTGTTTGACCCAAGCATTCAACATTCACCCATATCCCAAAATGAGGAGTAACTCCTTGTTTAAGACTTCATCGGACTTCTTTTTTATCAGTCTCATCTACTTAGAAGCCTTCTATATGACAGTAGGCTTCCAGACTGGAGAAGAGGATGTAAAGGAACCAGAGGCCGAAAAAGAAGGCCGACGTGGCCAATCTGTGTCTCCGCGGCCCGCCCAGTTCCCCTCCGATGTGGGCCCGGCGCCGGTAGAGCAGCACCGAGATGGCCAGGAAGGCGAAGATGGTGAAGAGAGTGACGGAGAAGGCCAGTGAACCGGCCTCCACCACAAACGGCTTCCCTTTCATGTGCCAATATATGGCTGCAACGGACCAGGCCATGCCGATTCCCAGGAAGACGTTGACGGCGTTGCTGCCGGTCACATTCCCAATCGAAGCATCTGCGTAGGTGTCTTGGACGGCAGAAACCTTGCTGGCAAATGTATCTGCAGAAGGAAGACAACCACCATCACATAACTGGTTGAAAAGGCTTTAACCCTCTCCAGGCAGATGTTGCAGATTTGCAACATCTAAATGCCACTTAGCTAATAAGTCCACATCCATATTTTAAGAGCTTTTGTTACTCAGAAGTACAACAGAAGGACTTAGTTGTGCATTTGCAACAAACAGTTTCTCTCCTGCTCACCAGATGGCGCCGCTGACTCACTTCTGGTGTCACTGAAACAGATTTTCTAAGCACCAATTTAATGTAAGTATCACTACCAATTTCCATTATTTTGACATCAATGCTACATAAGATGAATCCTGAATGTGTATAGATATGACACATGCCAATTAGTAGATTTTATCTCCTCTGGGTTTTTCACCAGAGGCATCTCGATTTCAATGTTGTGGATTTGCAACGTGTGCCCAAACAGGCACCAATGGAAGCTATATGCTTTATCTACTAGTTTGCCTATATTTTGAGCAACAGTTCAACAGAAACGGCCTCCTCCAGAGGTTTTGAGATGTCGGTGGAGAAAAAGTTTGAGAAAAAGTTGTCTCTAATTTTGTGAGAGAACATTTTTTTTTTTCGAATTTTGTTTTGTTAATTTTTTGTTTTTGACATTCAAATAAAGTTAACGTTCATATCAGATTCAGTCTTCAGTGTTAATTTACCACTCTGGGCCAGTGTTGCAAATCTGCAACATCCCAGAATTCATTGCATGTGAAGGTCTCTCTCAAAAACGAGTCTGAATTTTATATTTCTACCCCATATGATAATTTTCTCCAAATATCAGATTTTTCCTGCAACTACAACTTAATTTGAGCCTGAGAGGGTTAAACGCTTTTAGCTAAATTATCCTCTTTTAATCAACCTTAATTCTGAAGGCAAATTACTTCCTCTGATATTTTTCTTTCTTTTTAATGCTGTAATTATTCAGAAAGCCAATGATTTTTTTTAATAATAGCATTGAGCTTGGACTCATGTTGTCACATTATTACAGATCAGAAAAATCTTCCACTTCACAATTATCCTCTGCTTAAGTCCCAACCGATTACTTTAAAGCTGTCGGTTGGAAATTAAAAAACAAAAATATGCAAAACTTGAAGCAGTTTTAATTCTCTGACAAATTGCTGTAAACACTGAAAACAAAACTGATTTGATTGATCAGTTGATTAAGGTCCAGAGCCGCCACTCCCACCACTGTCCTGTTTTAACATGTTCTTCTGATGCATCTTACATGTAAATACATGACATTTGCATACATTTAATCTTAACAAATGGCAACCTGTAAAACTTGAAGCACTTTTGTTTTCTTTTCCACTTTTTACCTAAAGAGTGACCGTGAGAAATAAATGCAAAGATTAGCTAAAAAAAAAAACAACAGCAAGTTCTGATCCAGAAGGATCCTGTCGGCTGTAACTTTGCATGACTGTCAGAACTCAGCAGAAACAAGCAGGACCTGAAAAATCTCAAAACCAAATCTTTCATAAAAAGGGAGTCAGGTCGATTGGTAAAGTTTCTGCAGGAATTTCAGCAAGCAGAGAAAACGTAGCTTTATCTCCTTTAGACAAGGAACTGTGCAATCTAGTTCTGAATAAACGGATATCTGAGACTTGGAATAAAGGTTATGAAATTTAATGCTATTCCTTTACTGTCCAACAAGAAGCCTTAAAATCTTCAAAGATTTTAGCTTAATAACTTTAAAAAAAAACGCTTCTAGGGCTATAAAACAAGTCAATGGAAACAAATCTCAGTTGGTTTACTTTATATTTGTGGACTTAAACTGTATTTATCTCCTTCTGCATGGCCATTGGCCAACGATCTGATCACTGCAGGTTTAACAATATCTTTGGATTGTTGCAATACTTCATGTAACAGATAATGATCATACATGAAAAAAAGCAAAATATAAGCAAAGGTATATCTAAAAAAAAAAACCATCTGACTCAGTGAAAAGATGCCATCATGTATCCTTGATAACATCCTTGTTGGTCTGTAAATTTAAGAAACAAATTCCACTTTTAAACAAATCAAGTTAATGCTCAAGTTTAGTTTTTGCACTTAATCATTTTTAAATCAAGTTAAAGTTTTGCATCTGCTGATCATAAGGAACCGGCTCTTTTGAGTGTTTCTACTTGTGTTTTTCCAGCCTTTTATTCAATTTGCATTGGCTTAAAAGTCCATGGAGTTTTAGAGCCATTGTAGATAAAAGGGCGTCGGATGCTGGAGTTTGCCCTGCAACCGCAGGGTTGACAGTTCAAGCCCCGGCTTTCAGTGTTGTTCAGTCCTTGGGCAAGACACTTTACACGCATTGCCTACTGATGGTGGTCAGAGGGCCCAGTGGCACCAGAGTACGGCAGCCTCGCCTCAGTCAGTGAGCCCCAGTGCAGCTGTGGCCACAATGTACACCACTGTTCAAAAGTTTGGGGTCACCCAAACAATTTAGTGTTTTCCTGAAAAGTCACATTTATTCACCACCATACGTTGTTAAATGAATAGAAAATAGAGTCAAGACATTGACAAGGTTAGAAATAATGATTTGTATGTGAAATAAAAACTTTTTTACATCAAACTTTGCTTTCGTCAAAGAATCCTCCATTTGCAGCAATTCCAGCATTGCAGACCTTTGGCATTCTAGCTGTTAATTTGTTGAGGTAATCTGGAGAAATTGCCCCCGACGCTTCCAGAAGCAGCTCCCACTAGTTGGATTGGTTGAATGGGCACTTCCTGCGTCCCATACGGTCAAGCTGCTCCCACAGCAGCTCAATGGGGTTCAGATCTGGTGACTGTGCTGGCCACTCCATTACCAATAGAATACCAGCTGCCTGCTTCTGCTCTAAATAGTTCTGCACAATTTGGAGGTGTGTTTAGGGTCATTGTCCTGTTGTAGGATGAAACTGGCTCCAATCAAGCGCTGTCCACTGGGTATGGATTGGTGTTGGAGTGATAGCCTTCCTTATTCAGAATCCCTTTTACCTGCGTCTGTTTCTCAAACTAGAGACTCTAATGTACTTATCTTCTTGCTCAGTTGTGCAACGCGGCCTCCCATTTCTTTTTCTACTCTGGTTAGAGCCTGTTTGTGCTGTCCTCTGAAGGGAGTAGTACACACCGTTGTAGGAAGTCTTCGATTTCTTAGCAATTTCTCGCATGGAATAGCCTTCATTTCTAAGAACAAGAATAGACTGTCGAGTTTCAGATGAAAGTTCTCTTTTTCTGGCCATTTTGAGCTTTTAATTGACCCCACAAATGTGATGCTCCAGAAACTCAATCTGCTCAAAGGAAGGTCAGTTTTGTAGCTTCTGTAACGAGCTAAACTGTTTTCAGATGTGTGAACATGATTGCACAAGGGTTTTCTAATCATCAATTAGCCTCTGAGCCAATGAGCAAACACATTGTACCATTAGAACACTGGAGTGATAGTTGCTGGAAATGGGCCTCTATACACCTATGTAGATATTGCACCAAAAACCAGACATTTGCAGCTAGAATAGTCATTTACCACATTAGCAATGGATAGAGTGGATTTCTTTAAAGTTAAGACTAGTTTAAAGTTATCTTCATTGAGAAGTACAGAGCTTTTCCTTTAAAAATAAGGACATTTCAACGTGACCCCAAACTTTTGAACGGTAGTGTAGTTTGCCACCATGAGTGTGTGAATGAATGGGTGAATGACTGAATATAGTGTAAAGCGCTTTGGTCAAGTCTCCTGACTTGACCAAAGCGCTTTATACTAAAATAGATTGTTGCAAAGTCAATTTCAGCAAAACCAAACTAACTCAGAAATTTCAAAAATTATTTGACATATTTACAAGAAAGAACTAACATTCTCAGAAGTCAAGAAGTCTTTAATTTGTGAAATAATAATTTCCCATGATTAAAGGGATAAATTAGTGATATTAAAAAACTAGGATGCTGTAAAATCTGGAATTTGCAACAAGATAAAGTGCAGGAAATCTGTAGACATCATTCCTGAGCATAGGCTTATAAATAAGACCCCATAAAGTATCAGAAACAAACATGTCCTCGTTAAGAGCTGCTGCTATTCCTGTGCTCACCTGGGACTGATGTGCCAAGAGCCACAAATACCACTGCTGTGACTGAGTCCTTGAGGCCGATGGTGCAGCCAAAGTGAGAGGCCAGGTCACCGATGACGGCCGTGAGCAGGCCGATGATGGCGATGGACACGATGAAGCAGGCCCAGCCATTCAAGTAGTCTGTGGGGGGGACGCAGGCAAACAGAACCTTCCAGAACACTGTGAGGAAGTGCATGACGTAGTCGAAGCAAGAAGGAAGCCGCTCTTCCCCAGTGTCCTCCTCGTCCTCATCTCTTGGCCGGAAGTAGGGTCCACGGGGGGTGGGGAAGATGGAGGGTTGAGGGGAACAGAGGATAGATTGATGCACAATGGGAAAGCAGCAGAGAGAACGGAGGTGAAGAGGGAGAACAAAGAATAACAGAGTGCAAGGAGAAGGTAGAGTGCAGAAAGAACAGAAAGCATAAGAGGAAAGAAAATTAAAATCAATGAAGAAGAAAAAAATAGAGGGCAGAGGAGGAGATTTGGAAAATGGGATGAGAGGTGATGGAGAGGGGAGGAGGAGGGAGAACAAAAATCACTTAAAATGGCACGTTCACTTATCTCTCAGCATGAAACATCCTTTTGACTTCAGCTCGAGGTTGCTATTATGCAAATGTGTGATAAATACTTGTCAGCGCCAGAGGCCACGAAGGACAAGCTGTTTTCTTTGGCAATTAAGAAATAAAAAGTTTTTTTTTTCCACAAAGGAAAAAAAAGCAAAATAAAGCACTTTACTTGTTTCTTTTTTTAATAGGACTCATTTAAATAAGCGCTGCTCTTATAACTCCTATAATGCTTTAAGGTCTGGGTTAAACTGCTGTACTGCAACGGAAAATGTAACCTTTTCCCATTTTGTCACATTACAACCACAACTTCATTTTACTTTGATTTAGTTTTAGAGCCACAGAAAGCAGCACCAAGAGAGAATTTAAAAACTTTGCAGCTTGTTTGTATTCGAATGGTGCTGGCAGTAGGGAAGGATGTGGGAAAAGGGGGGCTGTACATCAAAGTTCATTTAGCTTAAGGAAGCTTATAAGGTTCCTAACTAAGGAGCTACAAGAAATCCCACAATGGCACAATGCATAATCATTACTGCTTTAGGTTTGCTGCATGTAGCACATGCAAACATGCACAGATTTATACATTTTTGGTTTTAAAATCGAGAGCTTTAATTGTTCTTTCATTTTTTCATGTTCTTTTCCTGGAAGGCTGTGAAGGAATAGTAGGTAAGAGCTGCTATTTAACAATTTAGGATTGAGGCTTTACTTGCAAAAGCATCATGCTTCATACTGCCCTCCGGTGGCATGGCACGGGAATTACAGTTTTTCTTTATTTCTACTGTTGTGTGCGCAGAAATAATAATTAACATGTTATATGTAGATGTTTTTAACACACACACAAAAACGTTCCTGTGTTCAATGGATTGTTGTCGACCGTACAGGACTTAAATGGTCCATGACCGAAAACGCATCATTCTCTTTATGCAGCATACTGGCAGGTGGCAGCAGCATGATGTGGGACTGAAAGAAATAATGCAACCGTTTTTGCATTTACTTAATCATATTTAGTTACTTGAACACAATTATTTTATGTCCTACTCTGCTAACATGAAACAATTGTGTTAAAGTAACTAAATGTGGTTAAGTAAATGCCAAAAACGGTTGCATTACTTTCTTCAGTTTAGAGTAGAAGGTCAGATGGATGGATGAAGATAAATGCATACTTCTAAAATTATTATTTATAAAAAATGTTAATTGAAATGTGTTACTTTGTGCTGGACTATAAATCCCATTTGAATGCATGAAGTTTGTGGGGTTTGATGTAACCATGAAGAAAAAAAAATCAAAAAAGTGTAAATATTTTTGGTGAACTTTATAGAGACGTTCTAATACCTATGTATTTTGGAATTTAAAAGTAAAAATATATGGAATGCACAACGCTGTGAAATTGTACATTTTTCATTTGATAATAGCTCTAAGGCATCGGCACAGTTCATTCTACCTTCAAAAAACAGAAATGATTTCCTCTCTGTTGGGTTCTGCACCACAGTGCGGCTGCCAGATGACCTAAGGAGGACTCTTCCTGTGTCCCAGCAGCTTGCAGGACATGGAGCAGACAGGCAGGCGCTCTGTCATGATTCCTAATGTCACACTTTGTGACACGCATGCATTTTGCAGCCTAGGATGATCATCAAAAAGTAAAGAGGGCCTCTTGTGATTAAATATTTCAGCACTGCAGCCACAAAACCAGAGTCTTTATCGACTCTCCTCAGACTGTGGCTGCAGATCTTAGGCCCGTGTTGCTGGCTGTGATTCATGTTGTGCAGATATTACATTTTCCTAAGCTTTAAAACGTTTAGGATGAGAAATGACTTTAGTGTTTTAAGGACAGCCTGGCTGTGGGTTAGACGTATTTCCCCTGGCCTTACACAAATGACTCTAAAAATACTTCAAGGGAGTAACTTAAGAGTGTTTTTGTTGACAGCTAATGGTAGAATAAAGAACAAATGAGGGATCATTAAATAGAAGAAAAACATCAATGTCTCAATTGTTTTCCACTTTGTGTTTGACTTGTAATGCATAAGACCGACTATCACTAAAATAAAGCCAAACTTTCAAGTGAATAATACTTCCGCCTGCGCTCGTAGTCAGAACCACTTTTTGTTTTATGTTCCAACTCTAATATGTTGGATATTTCTATACCAGCTTTGCAAATCTAGATACAGGATTTTTTTTAAATCCTGCAGCGGAACCAATCTCCATCCATCTTATCATCAACTCTCTCCAGCTTCTCCATCCTTGATTTAATAAAACCGTCTCCATATCATGATGCTGCCACCGCTGTGCTTTTGTTTTCAGAGCGATGGGTAGTGTCTGTTTTTAGAACAGCTTAAACACAGAGAACTCAAATACTGCATTTAGTATCAAAGCACAAGAAAACAAGTTTACAAGATGAGTTTATATTTCATAGATCCTTTTATCAGCAGACCCTAATTGTCATATATAAACTATTTTACCGTAGAGTCTGAGGTTCAGGTGAGATCAGAAACCATTACCTGCACTGACGGTGATGGCCTCCATGAACTGCTCTCTCCAGGAGTTTGTTCCCACCACCAGAGCCAGGTTGGTCTTCTTGATCAGCTTGTCCACTGTACTCTAAGCATTAACATAGAGGTCATGTTTCTCCAATCCATTCCATCATATTGTTCTTACGTCGAGAAATACACGCTTTTCACCACATGATGGCAGTACCATCCAATATCAGGGAACAAAAAGCTCTCAATGGCAAAATTTTACACTAAAAAAACTTTTTTAATCATCTTATTTGTTTAAAGTGTGACTTTACTCACTTTGAACTCGTATGATTCCTCGATAATGACCTCAAGCCTTGGGTGTTCCCCCAACACTGGTTTGCCCATCTCTGCAATCCGCTTGGCTTCCTCCTCATCAGATGTCAGCTTCCTTTCTGGCACGTCTTAATGGAAAGAAGAAAATTGGATGACATAAAAATTAGAACCCATTTAGGAAAAACAGTAATTTAAAAAATATATGTTTGTTGAATTATTTGAAAAGCCGAGGGATCCTGCATCTCAACTCTTCCCCCTGATCTGGGAAGGAAAGCAATGCAAAATTTTTTTTCTTTCTGCTTCTTTTCAAGTTACTTTCGTCTGACTTACAAGCACTGCATCAGAAAACCCTAACAAGCTCTCATGTTTTCTTTTATTTTGTCTTGTCTAGAAAACCCGTATCATTGTTCCTTCCATCTAATCATACTATAACCAAACACTGAATTCATTTCTGCAGCTGATTGCTCCATGAAAGAGAACCACTAAGAAGCAAGATCTGTTTGTTAGAATGCAGGATTTTCTGTCCATACATGAGGTGTGAAGATGGCTGATTTTTTTCGTTCAATAATATGTTTTAATTTTTGTTTTTATGTGGGGCTGTGTGGGTTAGTAGAGAGGAGACATAGTTGTATCTGTTTTAGACAAAGCTCAGAGTAATCCATGCTTGGAGAGCCCGTTAGAGGGCAGAGGTCACCAAAGCCGTGCCCACGGGCACCTAGGGGGGTATTTTTATTCTGTTGCTCTTCTTTTTGAATCATTAATAGATCATTTTATCATATTTATCTTATATAACATGTTTTATATAGTTGTCAAAATGACAATATCTAAAAGAAAATTAGAAATGTAAATAAAGAAATGATGTTTATTGTTTATGAGGTTTAGTTGAACGCTGACTCCTCCGGTTCATAGAGTATTCCTGACTCAGTACCCATGAAGGAGGCCTAAGCCTTAAAAAGGTCAGTGACCTCTATTATAGGCCATTCAGGCTAAAACCTTATAAGGAAACTCAAGTTTCATCTATAAAAAAATTATAAGTTTTCTATTAATTTTGACAAACAATGTATTAGATTATTTTAAGCTAGAGAGGAACTGATCAGAATGTTTAAAGACGATTTTCAATCATTAATATTTACCTCTGAAAAGGAGGTTATATTTTTAGGAGAGGTTGTGTCTGTCTGTCTGTCAGGATTTGGAAAGATTTTAATTAAATCTTTATCAGAGGTGTCCCTCCTGCCAAGCAACAATTCGTCTAACTGTGGTAATGATCCAGATCTTCTGCAGATTTTAGGTTGAAGTCACAATATGGGGCTAAATGTGCTGCTTGGCTGAGGTCTGCGCTCTCCGGGTGCTTTTGCAGTTAGAACAGTTTTACCTGCAAATACATTGATTCCTATTTTACAGCAACATATTTTTATTTAAGAACAGGTAATACAAAAAATTCAGCTTCTGTTGATATTAGGTGTTTTTTATTTAATGGTAAAGAATCTGCTCTTGAATGAGCGCAGCCTCAGTTAGCATCAGTTAGCATCGGTTAGCATCGCCCCGATTGCCCAAAGAGAATTTCTCAATGCTTCTTAAGACTCACATTGAACTGCAGAGAAGAAAGCAGGTTCTGCAAATAAGAGTTTAAAAATTAAGAAGTGTGAATAAAGTCGTGTTAAATTCAGATTATGAATGATTTCACTACAGCTTCATTTCCATGAATCTTCTGATTTCCCAGACTGTCACTGTGCTCTTAATATGAGATACAAACGCCTATGCCTTCTTAGTTTCATAAAAATGGGAAATAACTGATCTAACTTAATTTTTACAGACAAAATATTTGCTCAGTCAGCATCAGTGTTTGCTGAGCACTGTGACATCACAATGTGATTTAAAAACTTTAATATAAATATAAAAACTCAGAACACACCAGCTGTTATAACGGGTACATAAATGAATACTGTAGTACTGTGAAGCAGAGGCAGAGCTAGAGAGGGGGGGGGTTCCCATGGTAACATAATTCACCTAACAATGGGTGAAGCAGTTCCCCTCTACAACAGAGGGGGCAGCAGAGATACTCTACGGTGGAATGGACTAGCTAATGAGATTTGTTTCAGTTGTTAGGATATTAATAATTAACTGACAACAAAACTATAGTGATTAATCAATTATTCACATCAACATGCAAATGTTAAATAAAACAAAAACACAACTCATGCTTTTTGCTCTTGTTAAAACTAGTTTTATTGCTTTACGGGGAAGAAGAGAGAGTTATGAGTCTGCAGGGATCTTGGAAAGCAGAGATATAGAACCACTGATCAACCCAATGTAGATAATGTGAACCAGAAGTTAATTAGACAAAATGGATGTAGAATTATCTGTGTAAATTATCTGTGTAAATTTATCAGCAACGGCTTCATGAAAATCTAGTCTGTCTTCATTGATTTCTTTGAGGAATATGGATGCTTTACTCATTCATTTTCAGTTGGCACCAAGGGCGTAGGTTTGATTTAAACTTTGGTAGGACACTACTGGTCAGATTTCATTGGTCCTTTACAAAAATATGCATGCTTGTTTTTTTATGCTTGACGTAAAAATCAGGGTGTATTTCGTTTAAACAGAAAAGCAGCATTTCTTGCTACATTTATACAAATTTTATAAGCACTACCAACACTAGATGCTGTTTATCAATGACTGACGCTTTACTGGCTCTGATGAATGAGGAAATAGGACTTTTTTCCACTTTGAGACGGTTTACATTTGAAATCACCTAAGACAGTGGGTAAATCTGTGCCTATTTAACAGAATATAGTCTAAATATGTCTGTTAAATGTGGATTTATACTTTTTTTTTGAAGATATAGAATTGTGCAGAGGTAAACAGGTAAAACCCACTCTTATCTTTTAAATGTTCTCTTTGTATCATTAAAACAAAACAAAATAATGATTCAAGGGACGCCAAATAAATGTATTGTATTTACAGGAGCACTGGAACTAGAAGATGAACTGACACTGAGCATTTAATATATTAACTTCACTCTACAAGCTCTACATCTAGGCTGTAGTTACTCTGTTTTCAGAGTATTTTATTTATGGCTGAAACAATTCATTGGATTAATCAATTATTTAAATTATGTCAACAAATGTAGTAATCGATTGATCATTATGGAGTATCGAGACTCTAAAAGATGTCTTTAGCTCACAGAGCGACCAACTTAGAGCAAGAATTATACCAACATTGGAAAAAAATTTGATAAACATTTTTTCATTTTAGATAAAACATGTTTTCGTCTGTCAATATTCCACATTCCAGAACTCCTCTACTGCTGCAACAACGCTGTATTATAAATGATAAACATGGTATTCACATCTAATTGTTGGTAGGGACAGGTAGGTCCGTCCAAAGTTTTGGTAGGGACATGTCCCTATGGTCCCTATGCAAACCTATTCCCATGGTTGGCACAGTGTGTTTAATGTCGACTAACGCTAAACTGGCTTCACTTCTATCAGTTTTCAGCCACTTCTCTGAGCACATTGGTCCCTGCCTGGTTCACCCGATGAAAATGTGGGTTAGAGATTAGAAAAGAAACATCTGCATCATAATAAATAGTACTGATGTTAAGTAGTAAAACCTCACCCACTAGTTCTCACATGGGAAACCCCGTTAAAGTCAGTCCAAAGTGCTTGGAAATATGTTACATTACTAGCTTGGATTACAACCTGGTGCTCTACAGCAACATTTTCTCATTATTTAGCAGCAGTTAAGAATGAAAATCACTCTAAGAAAAAATATCATCATACTACTAAAGAAAAATATCGTTAAACAGGGGTGGATTTAGGAAATTTGGGGCCCTAGGCAAATGCAGGCAGGGGGCCCTCTGAATGGAGAAGACATAAATCAGAGCCATTCTACAGATAGAGAAATGTTAATAGAATAGACATCCATTATCTGTTCTAGGTTGTGTCCCTCTCTTCTTGTCCCTTTTCTTCTTGTTTTCCTCTCTATGTTTTGTACTCAGCTGACTTTTCATGCTGTCTCTAAAGGAATGAAAGATTTTTTCCAAGCACTAAGCTCACTTAGCTGATTGCTCCTTCCTGTGTTTCCAAAAAGGCCAAAGTAAATAACCCAGTCCTTCTTTTCACTGTAGACAAGCCATGATCTGCTTATCTGTTCTCCATTTTTCATTTGGATGAAATAATAGCTGCATGAATCATGACAGCAGACAAGATAGAGGAGAGCAGGAGGCGGGGTTACCAATCTACTCGCTCTGGAGAGCAGAGTTCGCTGCTTTTAGATGTTGTCTCCAAAGTTTACAGAAAAAAGTCGCTTGATTTGGCGCTAGGAAAGGCAGCCGGAAATACAGTGACAACAGAGATAAGGTGGCGGTCCCTGCTCTTTGCACCTTTTGTTTTCAGTTTGCTGCTTTCTGAACATGGACTGATCAGTGTGGTGGACACTGAATGCGTTCTGATGGCATTTTAGCAAAATGATTTTTATCTAAAAATAATTAATGTGCACAAATAAGTTATAGCTGCATTAACCATACATGTAAAAAGAGTTTTATGGGGCCCCCAGGAACCCAGGGCCCCAGGCAGCTGCTTAGTTTTGCCACCCCTGTCTGTAAAACTCACAACCAGTGACGGTAAGGATCTATTTTATTTAAATCCTGGAAAATAAAAACTGCAAAAAAACAAAACAAAAAAAAAAAAGCATGATTTGAATGCATAGATGAAACTTTATCAAGAGCATCACTTCTACCACCTCTACACTATAGCTGAATGTTAGCTCGACTATTTTTTTTCATGTTAAATTAAAAAAGGAAACAAAAAACAGACAATCATGTGGATATTTACCAATAAGTAATATTCAGTGCATTTCTCCTACTGTACATCTTTGGTAATAGCATGAAAAGTTAATCTTGCCCATTTTATACATTTTCCATAGTATTTGGGGTGGACTATGGTATTTAATTGTTAATCTTTGACCCCAGAAACGTATCATGATTACTGGAAAATGTTCCTGCCATAACATCCTATAAGCAGAGATAAAACTAAGTGATAAAGTGGAGCTCTTCCATTTTTAATGACAGCAGAGTAGCTAATGTAGACTCCATAAAAAGGTCGACAGCACAGGAATGAAAAAAAAAAAACCCCTGCTGATCCTAAATTGAAATTAAATTCTCTAAAGACATCTTGACTACTTTGAAGGCCACCCACAGACTGTCAGCACACAATAAAGATTTGTTTAAATTTGCACATTTGCAGAGTTCGGGGAAGCCCCAGTAAGTTTCTAAATCTGCCCATCACATATCTGACGCAGCTTAACTGTGAATAGATGCTTCAGCGGCTTTTGAAGGCGCACAATAAAGAGCTTGACGACATCAATCCTGTGCTGTCGGACTCCATCAACAAGGAGTGGCTGCGGATCTGAACGCCTCTCATCCTCTCTCTGTGTGACACCCCCGCTGAGCCACCTGGCGCAGGGAACTTGTCATCTTTTATACGAGCCGTGAGCTCCAGCCTGCTGCTCTTTGCTGACAACACGCTTACCATTAAATATTAACACTGCCATTAAAGATCACAGCCGGCCTTCACTGATAGGAGTGTCTTTCTGCGAGCACACACACAGAGTCATGCATAAAAGCCAGAATGCTCCTGAGAACACGAACGCACTCTGAAGCCAAATCAATTCCACGCCCAAAGACAGCGAGCACCATCACCCTGACACCATTTCTCCTGCTCATTTTTAAAATTTGATTATGCAGCCATTCCTTTGCTCTAAGCTGCTACGCTACATGACACGGTTTCCTTAAGGAGGCAGAGGAACTTAATAACAATGCAATCAAACACAGGTAATTAAATTTCTAAATTGAAAACTGCTGGTTTTTATCTCGGCGTTTATCAGGTGTTAGAATATTAATTTGACAGGATAAAATTGACAGGGGGTTCAGGGCAAATTAACCCCCTGATTTGGCTCAAATCCATTCTCATCTTATTGGTAGAGATTGTTTAAAAATAGCAGAAATGTTTTTTCTTTTTAACAAAAAAAGCAGCACAAGATAAAAACTGATTAGAATCCAGCTTATCTACATCAAAACATTTTTTCAGACATTATCAGCAGCAGCTGAAATCAGTATGTGAGTTCAAATCATTTGCAGACATAAACCACAAAGGAGGTTAATGGGAAGGCCTTTGGAGGAACTTACCATCAGCTAACAACCGAGCTGTGGAGGAGAGGAGAGGAGAGGAGAGGAGAGGAGGGGGGGTGAATGAACTCATGGAGAAAACAGTAGAATGATGAACAACAATAATATGGAGACATAAAGGAGGTCAGTGAAATAGAAACATGTTTCTGAGGGATCAGCGTGACTCTGGTCTGCTGACCAACTCAGGAACTGAGAGGATTATGATGCAGCTGATCTTAAAATGAAATGCATCATGGGACAATGTTTAACTGAAACAAAGGCAGATAGCAGAAACCAGAGGAAGATATCAGGAGTTTCTCTCTTTCTGATTTAAATATATTCAAATAAATACAAATAAGGCATTTTTAAGTCAACCTATTTTAAACACAGATTTAATATTTCAAACTATAGGAGGAGAAAATCTGCCAATTAAAACAAACGTGATGAATTCTGCAGACGTGCTTATAGCAAACAGCTCTCTGAGGAACTTACACTCACAAACAACATAAATTAATTCAATTAATTAAAACTAGACTCTGGCTTCCAGTAGCATGTTTGATTTTGACAATATCATCACCCGTGGCAACAAGAGCTGGGAGGATACAGATTGACTCTACATGTCTGAAAATATGGCCAAACACTAGAATAGGGGGAGGAGGCCTCAGTAGGTGACCGGGTTATATCACAGTTTTCACTTTAGTCCGTGAATCACGCTGTGGAAATCATTTTTGTATTTCTGTAGGTCTCAGTCAGCAGTATTCCAAAAAAACAAATTATTTTCTGAGATTTTTAAATATATATTCTTAAATAACGGCAAAAAAAATCTTTGCAAAGTCAGCAAAGTAAATAGGAAAAAAGCAGAGTATTTCCCAGTACCATTTCCACCCATTTTCAAATGAGTTTCTAATAAAAGTTACAGTGTAGAAAAGAGCGATTGCTTCATGTTTGGCAGCTTATGGGAGGTTGGCTTGAAATAACTGAAATAAAAACTCTACTCTGAAGATTTAGAGCATTTTTCAGAGCAATTTGGTGTCCCCAGCAGGGATTAATTAAATATATATTAATGTTAAAGGTAAGAATTGTAAAAACATTGTAAAAATAAGGTTTTTGCTAGTGGAAAGTTTCTATATCAATATTTATAAAAAAAAATGCAAATGCAAAAAGTACAAATAAGCTTTTATCACCACATACGCTATATGTCCAACTGTTGAATTCAAGTGGATATAAGTATGTAGCTAAAAGGGAAAAAAATGTTTTCTTGACCAATATAGAGTGGTTAGGTTGGGGATTTACTTTTTGGGCAAAACGGATTGCTGATATTCTGATATCATCCTGATGTGGAACTGGTAAAGCCATC